GGCCTACTTGTGCACTGGCTGCGACGCCCGCATCCATGCCGCCAACCCGGTGGCTTCTCGGCACGAGCGCGTGAGGGTGTGTGAAGCCTGTGAACGTGCTCCGGCTGCCTTTTTATGCAAAGCTGACGCCGCATCCCTCTGCACCACCTGTGATGCTGACATCCACTCGGCCAACCAACTAGCACGCCGCCACCAACGCGTCCCCATTTTGCCGATTCCAGGCTCACTCTTCGGCCCCCTCGCCCCCTCCCCAAGTGCATTAATAATGACTCCAACTGGTGAAACCGATGCAGACGAAGAGATGGAAGAAGCAACTTCATGGTTACTGCTAAACCCTGTCAAGAATAGTGAAAATCAAGTGAACAATGAAGTTGATGCTTATTTAGACCTGAATGAGTACAATTCATGTCAAGAAATTCACTTCACTGATGATCAGTACAACAATCAGAAGCAACGTTATAATGTTCCTGATGATGATAAAAAAATGTACGGTAGTGATAGTGTTGTGCCAGTTCAGTATGGATCAAAGGGTAAAGAAGAGGTTGATCTAAACAGTTTTCAGTTAGGGATCGAGTTTGATATCTCCAATGATGGCTACGGTTATCCAGTTATGGATATTGGAGTTGTACCAGAATCAAGATTGAGTGAAGTTTCTTCATCAGTCTCCCAGCAAAGACCCTCTAAAGACACAGTTGATCTTTTCTCAAATTCACCTATCCAGATGCCAACACAACTTTCTGGCACGGACCGAGAGGCCCGCGTCTTAAGGTATCGGGAGAAGAAGAAGATGAGGAAGTTCGAGAAGACAATTAGATATGCATCGAGGAAGGCCTATGCAGAAACCCGACCCCGGATCAAAGGTCGATTTGCAAAAAGAACAGATATTGATCAAATGTTCTATACAAGTCTAAGAGTCGATAGTACTCGATATGGCATCGTACCCTCATTTTGAGCCGATGCAAGAATCAAAAGCTTTTTTTTTTTTTTTTTTATAAAGAAAGTTTAAGGAATTTTCTTTTAGGATTTGTACAAATCAATTCTGCAGCTCCCGCTAAGCACATATACATATACACTATAATTTTATCATTCATACTTTTAGCCATGTGAGCCGGCTATTCTCGTGTCCCAAATTGATGTCCATTTTTTTGGTTCGAGGAAAAATAGTTTGGAATTCGACCTCCCCGAGGTCATTGACTCGTTTTTAGTTTAGGATCCCCTTTTTTTAGAGCTAAAGATCGTAATTCTCGAATGAGCAATCGAAAAGATTCTAGAGCATCCTTAGGATTAGTATTGTTCCTCTTCACTAAAAATCCTTAGGGCTTGTTTGGAATGACATAATAGACATGATGAAATTAAAATTTTAGTTTATTTATATTTTTTATTATTAATATTACTATCTAATCTCCCTTATTGAAATGTCATACGTATGTGGACTCAACCAGGGAATGGCGAAATACCCCTGCATGCCCCCATCTTGCATTGCTCGGCCCTAATAGGCAGGGCACCCTCCTGAATTTTGATTTTTTAGTTTATTTGTGTATTTTTAGCCACAATTTGGTGTAGCTTAAAATTTTGATAAAAAATTTAAGTCAAAATTAATAATCAATTCTAACCACACATTCATAGAACCCACAAATTTGTAACCACATATTTCATCAACTTTTATCAAAATTTATAAAAAAATCTAATTTTTAACTACATGAAACATAAGCTTAAATTAAAAAAAAAAAAAAGAAATAGATAAATAAGTTAATGTGAGCAATAATAAGAATATTTTAATCTCTGCCCCCACGTCCCAAAAAATTTCAGGCACCTCTACCGCATTGCCGTCCTTGGACTTCAATAATTAGACTTTGCTCTGTCGCGCCCCTATTAGAGGGGTCACTGGACAGACAGCCTATGAGGTCCTGTCCAAACATCTTTACCTTTAATAATCGTAAGCCCTGTCCAAACATCTTTACCCTTGATAATTTTCATGTCCAAGGGTTGATTTTGCAAGCTTTCTAGCCATGATTAGGAAGATACAAGCCCTTAATTTGTAAATGTAAAACGTAGCTAAGATAAATGTTGGGGGAAAATGGTTTTTACATGGAGTTTTGAGAAATATTTAAAATCCCATAAATTGAAAAAGTTGGGCTTTTTTAATACTATGAATTTTTAGGAAAAAAATAGACGAAATTTTTTGCTTGTGCCTAACTCTAAGTTTCTCTCTCCAATTTAAGCTTTGTGGCTAATGTCGAGATTTCTCTCCACTCCAACAAACCAAGAAATGATTCTGAATAACTTATCGTCCGCATCAGAATTCTGATGATCCCAATGATTGGAAAGTTTTACCCAATACAATTCATCATATCGGAAAATGTGTTGTTTACTTTACTGTAACATTTGCAGAATGTTTATGCATGTTAATTGATAGTTCGAGGCTACCATTATTATTATTATTATTATTTTGGCTTGGCAACAATATATTTAGGAAGTTTTGTTTGATTTCTGGTCTATGGTTGTGAAATTTTCATAGATAAAAATAAGTGACAAATAAGTGAATAGTACTTGTAATCCCACGAAATATATGAAGAAAGTAGTTTGATCGCTTATAAAACGTTTAAATATCCAAACATAGAATGAACCTTATCTGAGATGTGTATTGGTTTGGGTAGCAGAAGAAGTTAGATGCTGTTGGAAAATTGGAATAAATTAGTTGGATAAATGATTGGTTTGGCCAAGTGTATTCTACTCCATGGGTAAAATTGATATATGTATTTATTTTTCAAAATAACTAAGGATGAATGAGAAATTAAAATCAAAAGATGACCACTTGAAGTTGAAATAAATTGGGAATAAAAATTGGTGGGAAATTGGAAATTGTTAATGTCACATAGGAAAATTAGATGAATAAAAACCACTTTATATAACTCAAGTTTGGGATTTGGGATTAGGTCCAAAGGAGCACTACTAAAAAGATTGAACCCCAACATTAAGGGCCCCCACCGACCCTGTCCTGGGCCATCGTGGAGGAGGTAAATCGCAGGATGTGCCTCCCAAGAGCCAGGGTGGAGAGCACATGGATAGGCTAAGGCTGTTAACCCATATGATAACTCCCGCTTACAACAAAACCAATTCCACTTTGCGGGGAATCGAACTCTGCACACTGCCGCGCTGAGCCCTATCCGCCCTCCCCTTTGTCACTGGGAGATATGCCCTGGAGGCCCAAAGGAGCACTACTAACCTTTGGAGGAAGATGACCTACATGCTAATAGGTTGAGCTAAAGCCTACATGCGCGTGCTGTCGTCGCCATCGCCGTTGTCCGACTGGCTTGACACGGGTCTTGGGTTTGGGCTTGGGCTTGGGACCAGTTGGTATATATATATTTTTGCTAAAATAATATTTTAATTATATTATTTAATTTTTTTTCCCTAGGATTTTCTGTGAGCGAGAAGTGGCTTCTTTTAGAAACTTGCGGTTGCTAACAGTTTTAACTACTTGTCCAAACGAGTTGTATCTATTCGAGACACAACTTTTTGACTATTGTGTCTTTTGGGCACAACCTTTTAACTTCTACAAATAGACCTCCAAATCTCCGATTTTGTTCATTTCAAAATTTCTTTTGATTTCCTCTCTTACAAAATAATGTCCTCCCGTTCTACGGTATTCCATATTTTACATTTCAATCCAAAATAATAATTTCATGAATTTTAGTCCTATGATTTTTGAGAGATCAAAATATACTAAGATTCGTTAGGTCTTGTAATTTGGAGTGTTTGTATTACAAGACGATATCGTTGTATCTTGGGAAACGAATGCCACGAGACAGTCAGCACCAGTGCACGATATTATCGTCTTAAGGAAAAAAGTCGAAATCTTGCCTCGACCATTATCATCCTAATTTTATATAATTCATTTTTGTAAGTCGAAATTTTGCCCAACCGCTTATTTACTATCTATTTATATAAATTGTTGCACGACATTCTCGAATTTAATTCATCAGATCCTTATCTAGGTATTACATGGTTTTAGTTTTACCTACATAAATTGTGACTGTGATTTACAGTTAGAGCTGAAAGGAAAAGATACAAACACATCATTGTCATCTTTCTGTTACAAGGTAAGAGCCGTTCAATTTGTATTTCAATTTTCACTTTTGGGTTTTAATTTTGAATTCATTTTTAATTTTCCATTTTGGGAGTTTGTTTCAAGATTGTGAAAAAAACGTTTTCTTTGTCATTCTGAAAATTTATTTCTCAAAACAAAAAATTAAAAAAAAAAACTTTTTTAGAATACTAGAATTTTTATTTTTTGTAACTTTGTAATTTAATTTTGAAGAATATTAACATTTTTAATTTTTAGAATTTTATTTAATTAAAATTTTGCGTAATCGCTTATTTATCATGTTTTGAATGTTTTCACCACTTTCACTAGAGTCATGCTACATAGACACATGTACAGACATACTGAAGCTACTTTTACAATCATGTGGGACCAATTATATTTTAAAAGATGGTTAACTACTCAAATTTCAAAGATGGAGAAGTCATTAATGACGGCTATAAAGTGTAAAATCTATTTAGCCCCTACCAAAATAATGGCTAATACAATAATGTAGAAATAATTCTAGGGTAAAATTGACATTTAATCACGTGTCCACTTGACATTTTTTAAAATAAAAAATTTACAGAATTGATTTTAAAAAAGAAAAGAAAAGCAAGACAAATAGATCTCCAAAGTAGCCGAAAATCCCCCCGATGCAAAGAAAATGTAAATTGCATTTCTAAACAAAAAATATATATTAAAAAAATGCAAATTTACATCTTCTTTTACATCCACAAGAGGTAAAAAGGATATTTAGATCTTTTCATTGGAGGAAAATTTAAATTTAAATACAAGGGGATGTCAATGAAGATGCGAAAACGATTTTGAAGATACTCTAATGTAATAAATGGAATCATCAAGCCAGCACATTCAAGATAGGCTCAGCAACTTTTCCTAAAAAATCAGAATAGAGTGCGCAAGTACAAACATTTGTACTAGAAATTGGTGGCAAGTTCAAGACATTGGCTGTGCAAATGGTCAGAGAGAATTAAGCAAGACACAATAAACTCTCTGAGTTTCCATATCTATCAAGCAAAAATGTAATTTGGAGTATGCAAAGCCATTCGCCTTCGTTTTAGTTCATGACATGATAACAACAGCAAAGTAACACCTAACAGAACAAATTTTCTTTAGGAGAAAATAAATACTAGCAAGTATTAGCTTAAGATGAATGATTTATAAAAGCTTAAACAATGGAGTGGAATGACTGTGAACTGATTTCTGTCTTACCTTGCAGTTGTTAATACGGTAAAAATCCTATTTTACAAGCCAAAATTGCACGCCTGGACGAATTCCATCTCATCATCAACATATTTAGTCCAGAGATGCTTATAATGGTTCATAGCAATATCCAGCCATGGCTTCATGTCTCCATTGAAATGGATGACAGCAGCTTTATTGATTTCATCCATACTAATACCAGGATTGATTCCGAGGTCCAGAACATGCCATGTTTTATCCATTGACTTGGTTGTTGAGTAAAATGTAATCAACCCAGCCGGTAGCGTGCCTAATTTCCATAAGGTTTGATCCTCATTCTGATCGATCAAAAAGAACAACTTTCAGTAAGAAGCATGATAACCGAAAAAAAATTGTGCAAAATTCTATTTCAGACGTAAAAGAATGGAAAGGTAAAAATCAGGAAAGCATAAAGCATTTACCAAATTCTGCCAGTAATGGTATTGCTCAGTGCATTTTTCATTTCGCCAAGCATCAAGGTCAAACATATTCACTCCAAAAGCCCAAGCACAAGCTCTTGGATTGAACTTCTCCTTGATGAGAGGGTTAGAAAAATTCAAATATTCAGCATAACGACGGAAAGACCCAAAGCAAGTATTAACTGCTGCGTTCACCTTTCCGTCCATATCAATTCTCCACAAAGCAGTTAAATCCTTCTGAACTACAACGTCATCATCCAGAAACAAAATTTTGTGCAGCTTTGGATACAATTCTGGCAAGTAGAACCGCAGGTGATTCAGCATTAATAAGTACTTGGGGTTTCTAAATTTCATGTTGTTCATGTCTTTAGTGGAATTTTCTGCCCTGTTTTTGAAGTAAAACTTCTGCAAATTTGCAGACTTGAGTTGCCTAATAACTGGCACATATGAGGGAGTCAAGAACTTGTAATCATCCACCGCTTTGATCTCAATATGGGCTCCCCCTTGTATCGGCCTCATCTTAAACCAAACCTTTGTTGCAGCTAGATTCATCCTATCAGTAACGATATGAAAAACATGCTTCTCAGGTTCCTCTGCATTCTTAACAGCTGAGTTCACCACCACAGATATTGCAATCACATTGTCGGAAAATATAGCATAATGGTATAAGCTTGGATCCTCAAACTCAGGCTTCTGCTCATCATCCGTGTACTTTTCAGGATGTGCAATTCTCTCCTCCATGAGTCGCATTGCAAGACAATGCAAACTCTTGGGAGTCGATTTTGCTGCAATCGAGCTAGTAAAAGCCCCATTCTTCTTGGCCTTCAAAAGCGACTCATTAACAGCGAATATTGTATCTTTCAATTTCTGAATCTTTAACTGAGTGTCATAGGACTCCTTGGCTTCTGCAATCATCAACCTAGCAACCTTGATTTTATCCTTGACCTCCTTTTCAAACTGCCTCAACACGTCCTCATCAACCAGACCGTCAGATTCAAATAATGCTAAGCGATATGTTGGCTTCAACTGAAGGTCCGAAAAATTCTTAGCCAAGTCATCAAACATCTTAAGCTGCCTAGAGATCTCAAGCTTGAGCCTCCTAGCATAAGTGAAATATGCATTCACTAAGGCAATATGATTATTTGCTTGATTATATATCAAATTTAACCTCGTCTTTGATGGATCAGACTGCAGTGCTAGAAATGTTCGGCGTGCATATGCATTTCCAGAAGTCTCCATCACCTGTTAATTTAGTGAATGTTGCTTATTTAAATTCACGTCCAAATACAATTCACTTTCTATATTCTCATTAATCCTCTTCATGATGCAACTATAAACTAGAAAGGCCTGCTGATCATATCCATCAAATAAACATACACATACGTATTATTTTATACAAATAAGATTGATATCCAAGATCAATTCATAACTAAATTTAACATGTACGCTAAATTTCCAATAAAATGCATATTTTCCCAATGATTTCGACAATTAAATGAAAAAGAAACGATACTCAAGAGATAGAAATTGATAATTTAAAATTAACCATCGCAAACCCACAGACAAAAAAGCAGTTATTAATGTAGTTCACAAATCTAAAGCAGCTCGAATTTTGAAAATTTGATTCCATTTTCCTTTGAAAGGACTTTCTCTTTTAATTACTCATCGCAATGTCATTAATTGCATCCATATCATATAAAGCTATATACAACATAAAGACAAGATTTAATTGACGATACAGAAATACACACAAAGTAATTAAAGGGGAAATGACAGAAGCTTACGGAGTCAGGGTGAGAGGGGTACGAGGTAAAGAGCACGGAGAGAGTAGCGAGAAAGAGAAGAGTGAACATGGCGGACACGAAGATCCTGTAGCTGAAAAAGTTACGGAATCCGGATCCGCCTCCCGATCCACCTCTTCCGCCGCGGACAGCCACCGCCATCACGATCGCCGGACGGATTTATCACTGACTACAATAACTATATATATACAGAAAAATTGCAAACGCTCGGTGTGTATTCGCAATAGAGCTATGTATGTAACAGTGAACTATAGATATATAAGGCTGTGTGCATTTTTGTTTGCAAGAAGTGTTGAAAGAGAGAGAGAGAGAGATGGATCTGAGCAGTGGAAGAAGAAGAATAGTGGGCTCCAATATTGATTCACAGTTTAATAATTCAAGTACATCCTATGGGATAATAACCAAATGGTCACTAAACTTTGCAAAATATTCATAAGGGTCATTAAACTTTAAAAATTACCTCATTTATGACACAACTTAAATTACAAGTGCTCCCTTACAGCACTACTCCAGATACTTTTCCTCCTCTTGAGTTGTTATATCTATATTCTGTATCAATCTTCGCAACAATTGTTATAGTAATTCGATATTTTCATTATTTCACTCAATAACAATAAAATTCACACGACATTTCAGATCAATTAATTGAAAAGCATTTCAATTGTTGATATTATGTGCCTGTTTGTTTAAGATTACTGTATCAATTTTTTAATCGAAATATAGCCGTTATACAGCTATGTGTCAGTGGGGAGCTGTTATGTTTGACTTACCAATCTACCCCTCCACATAAATCGGTCTTTGATTAAATAATGACAGTCCCGATATTTTGCTAGTTGTACAGTCAACATTTTCTACACAACTTGGGCCTAGTGACCTTTTAAACATTCCAAAATTTTATTAAAAGTTGGCTAAAATGGCTGCCATGCACGGTCTATATTTAAATTTCATAACTAGAGTTCATTTATGTCTTAGTAATTGAAGTTTTACCTTAGCATTACGAAGTTACAAGAATTCATGTTTGGTTTATGGAAGATCACCCCCGATTTGAGATATGTGAAGTAAAAAGGAAAAGTCACAAAATCTTGAGCCTTTTCAATCTTCATTGAGCCTTTTCAATCTTCATTGGTTAATCTCCAGTTACACCTTTCTTTTCTTTATCCAAAAATGAAGATTGGATCTTCAAATAATGAAAACTGGTCTCCCTTGATTTGCAAGATTTAATTTATTGAATGATATGAGAGGATCTTGCAATCTTGGATAATCTGCAGTTATAGATGATGAACTTAGGTCAAAATTCACAACTAAGATGGTTATTAAACGGAGTTTCAATTTAAGAAGAAAATTGCCCCCATCTAAAATATTATACCTATGCCATCGCACAGACATATACTTCACGCTCTGTTGTTGATTTTTTAACCCTATATACGCACCCCTTATAAATTCAGAAATTATTACTCTAGTTCTTAATTTGGCTCCGTTGTTTAGCTTTGAGTTATTTTCACATGCAATTTCAATCCATCATTCTCTAATATTATCCAATTGATTTCATGCGATGTTCAATCTTCATTCCATGGTTTGAATTAACCTTTAAATATTTACAATTTAGTCATCAACTTTGAAATTCTTATCACTTATTTTGATAAAAAGCCATCCAAACATTAATATATCCTACAACAATCAATATATAACCAAATAAAGTAGTAATCCCATCAATCACTTTTGATGATCAGTATAGGGGTTGAAAATTGAAATACTAGACTTCACAACAATTCTTATTTTTCAAAAAAATATCAAGTTTTAATTACAATGAATATGAATGTCTTTCAACATTTACTCTCTTCACACTTATTTCTCCATCATCACATTTTTATCGCATCATAACTTCAACAATATAACTAGGAGGATGTGAAAAAACTTGTTCGTCTCTTGTATTTTAAATAAACAAAATAAATTATAGTCTCAAAAATCACCATAAAAAACAAGATGTGCTAATTCAGTTTAAAGTTAAAAACTCAACAAAGAAATTGGAGATATAAATGTCAAAATGAGTTAAAATCAAGGACTTTTTATTGCAATTAAAACATGGTATACCTGATTAAAAAAAAAAAAAAAATTGTAGTATGAAATTTTTTCAGTTTTCAATCAACGAAGACAAGAAAAAATCGTGAATGAAAACACTAAAATGAAAACACTCAAGGTCTTGTCAGGTTTCATTACCAAAAATAAAACCCGGTTTTGGAGTCTGGCCTAAGGACAGATTGTTGTTTGGAAACACGGTAAAGATATGAAGTTAATTTGAGTACAACCAAGCTATACAAACAGGGTCAATGACAGATTTTCATTGATAGACAACACTTAGCAGTTCAACATTGAAAGTTGAAAAAAACTACACAAAAACATTCAATCAAATCATGCCAAATCAGCCTGTTTCCGAAATTTTTTTTTCCCCCCTATCCATCTAGTTTTATTCATTTAAATATTGATTTCATCACTTCTCGGGATATTATAAAGGAAATTGAGAGGGACTGTCAGCTTAGAATATTTTGCCATAACTTCGAGGTGACATTGAGGTTGATAGTCGATTAATTGGAATTGGTCAAGAAGTACAGGATTGAATTTTTCTATAGTAATATTACTTTGGGATTCATTGGGTCGTTTCTACTTTATTTCTCGAACTACTCCACTGAGTTTTTATCCACGAGTTGAATGTACGTATCATATAGACTTTTCTATACACGTTTCGATCATAAAGGTTATGTGTATAGAGAGATGTCCTAACTCGTAAATGAGAGGTCCGTAGATAAAAAAGGTACAAACACGTAATTCTGCATCAAGAGTCGAAGAAAATTGAAGACAACGACAAAGATAGAGTTTATACAATTTGAAGTTGGAGCATTGGCGAAACGAGATAGATGATGGGACAATTGATATAACTTCAATGATCACAATGGCAAAAGCTCGTGAAAATGTCCATCTCCTATATATTTTGTGAAGGAAATAATTCAAGAACTTGTGTAATTACCTACATAAATGGCCTGGCAGTTTCACCTAAAGAAAACATAGATCACCAAACTTCAAAAAACTCACCCTTTCAATCAACAAGATATAATTGAAACTAAAAAATGGAGAAAAACATAGATTCTCACCCACAACTTAATCCCCTTAATCCCGAGCAAATAGTGATGGCAAAAAAATTCGTCCCAAACGGGTTGGCGGGATGGGACAAGATGGGGTGCCCCATCGTGGGGCTAGCTGGCACTAAGGCCAAGAGAAAGCGCAATGCCCGGTCCCGAACCTTCCCCGTGAAGGAAAAAAATAAAAAATAATTTTATTTCTAAATAATTCACTCATTAAAAACCCATTTTGAATGTATATTTTATTTTCTAATAATAACATAATTCGAAACTTTGAAAATGTAAAAAAATTAAAAATTAAAAATTAAACGAGACAACAAACGAGGCAACTATTTGCCCCGTCCCGTCGGTTTGGGCCAAAAGGGGCGGGAAGGGGTGGAGATGCCCCGCCCCTTCACCCCACGCCGTTGCCATCTCTGCGAGTGAAACAAGTGTACATTTGGGCATATAGAGCCTATTTGGGAGTGATTCCCCCGCCCAACCAAAAATTGATTTTTTGACCGTTATTTTACTATTCTAACCTTTATATTTGATTTCTTCTCTCACAGGTGGATCCCACTTTTCTTCTAACAGTCAAAAAATCAATTCTCAAAATCACTCCCAAACAAGCTTATGGTACATTCTACTTAAGAGAGGATTTAACGTTAAGGCAATAATGAGCAGAGAAGCAAGAAGATGAACAATGGTATGACGAGAAAAAAGCGCGAAATAATGAGACGTGATTTAGTGGTACAGCGAAATGGCGTGTCTTTGGGGTTTATAAGGGTTTGTAGCGTCACACTTTTTCAGGCTATGGAAGGAAATAATGATTGAAATTCTTGAGAATTTCAAATGTTGCTGGAAAACACAAGGTTCTGCCATATTGGAGGGTAATTGTTGACACACTAAAAGTGCAGCCCAAATTGAATAGTCGAGTGAATGAAACCCAATTGAGGAATCCCCAAATCAAATAGTCCAAAGAATAAAAGCCCAACTGGGCAATTCAGGATAAATGCCTAGATGGGGTTATTAGTGAATGTAGTGGAAGCCCACGAACACAGTAACATCATCGCTCAAGCATGCAAGACGTCCAAGATCTCAGCGAATGAAGTGCCTTACAGTCGCCCAGAGCTATTACCCTGTTCTCGCCCAAACCTTCGAATCGCCTGTTTAGTTTTATTCATTTAAATATTGATTTCATCACTTCTCGGGATATTATAAAGGAAATTGAGAGTGGACAGTCAGCTTAGAATATTTTGCCATAGCTTCGAGGTGATATTGAGGTTGATGATCGATTAATTGGTCAAGAAGTACAGGATTGAATTTTTCTATAGTAATATTACTTTGTGATTCATTGGGCCGTTTGTACTATATTTCTTGAACTACTCCACGGAGTTTTTATCCACAAGTTGAACGTACGTATCATATAGACTTTTCTATACATGTTTCGATCATAAAGGTTATGTGTATAGAGAGATGTCCTAACTCGTAAATGAGAGGTTCGTAGATAAAAAGGTACAAACACATAATTTTGCATCAAGAGTTGAAGAAAATTGAAGACGACGACAAAGATAGAGGTCGTACAATTTGAAGTTGGAGCATTTGCGATATGAGATAGATGATGGGACAATTGACATAACTTCAATGATCACAATAGAAAAGCTCATGAAAATGTAAAGCTCATGAAAATGTACATCTCCTTATATATATTTTGTGAAGGAAATAATTCAAGAACTTGTGTAATTACCTACATAAATGGCCTTGCAGTCTCACCTAAAGAAAACATAGATCACCAAACTTCAAAAAATTCACCCTTTTGATCAACAAGATATTAATTGAAACTCAAAAACGAAAGGAAAAAAAAAACATAGTGCTTGTTTGGTTGGAATTTTTATAATTGATTTTTTGATTGTTAGAGATAAAATAGATCCTGTCTGTGAGAGAATTATTCAAAAATGACGACTGAAATGATGAAATAACGATCAAAATTTGATTTTAATTGACTTAAAATTTGTACCAAACAAGCTCATAGATTCTCACCCACAACTTAATCCCGAGCGAAACAAGAGTATATTTGGGCATATAGTACTTTCTACTTAAGAGCGGATTTAACGTTAAGGCAATGGGGTCAACTGCCCCCACTATGATTTTAAAAAAGCGTGAGCATATAGCATTTTTATTTTTTTATTTTTTTAGTTTATAATTTTGCCACCACGCAAAATATAATAACTTCAAAATAATACTCTAATACCGTCTTCTAGCCTAATGGTAGAATGTTGCGTACTAGTTCAACGTTATATTTCTCTTTACTTTTTCTATTGAGAAATTTATCCAATTAGTCTTCTACATTACCAACCTTTAAAAAGAACTTTTCAATCCCAACATTTTGTTCCATTTGCATATTTTATATATGGTTAACCCAAAATTTATTAGATTTATGTTTTCTCAGTAGTTTTTGAATATCATAATTAATTTTATTATTTTCTTCAAATACAATTGCCTTAAATAATTAAATGGTGTAGGACACCATAGCATCATCAGCGAAATGGCATAGTCAACCGTTGTAATACCTTCACAACCTTAAAAATCCAAGCTTTTTATTTGAGTTAATTGTTCGAATGGTCATTGAACTTAGGTATATGTCTTTGATTGGTTACGAAAATTTAAAATATCGAGTTTTGGTAGTTGAAATTAGGTCAACGTCTTTAATTGCTTACTGAAATTTGAAATGTCGAATTTTGGCCATTGAACTTTGAAAAATTCATTACAAACTCGATAGTTTTCAAAGTTCAACATTTATGCTAGTGAGTAATGTACGACATTTTTCAAAGTTCAGTGGCCAAAAATCGACATTTTAAATTTCGATAAACAATCGAAAATATGAACCTAAGTTCAGTGACCAAAACTCGATATTTTAAATTTCAATGATCAATCAAAGACATGAGCCTAAGTTCAATGACCATTGAAACAATTAATTCTTTTTATTTTGTAAATACGTAATTATCTTGAATGTATTAACTATTTCTTTATTTTCCGATTGCCTGGACCTATTTGTCATTTATTTTTTCTCTCTCTACTTTTTTTTTCAAACTCATTTTCAACCACACGTTCACATAATTAAATATTTTGCAATTAAACCCAAAACATTTTCCAACGTTTCCAAAAAATCACTATCCAAAAACTCATTTTTCCTGTAAATCTCTTTTTAATGGCTACCAAACAGAGGCTTAATAGAGCAAACGTCGTGTAGTCCCCATAACCAAACAAGCCATTAAGGTATGATCACTTCCACCATAACATCTAGTGATAGCATAAGAGAAATTTATTCAAACAAGAAATCCATCTGCCTTGCAATCTGATATTGAGATTACAAAAAGAAAGAGTTCAAAAGCAAAATTCTATGTTATAACTCACCTGAAATCGTCGAACAAGCGACCAGCAACTCCATCACCATCCCTATTGCTCCGCCTCTACTCGTAATCTGCATTGTCTGTGGGCAATTCATACCTGCAAACCGGGCATGTATTCCTGATCTCAAGCCATGGCAAAATGCAGTCCCCATGGTAAAGATGGAAGCAAGGCATTCTGGTCATCTTCTCTCCAGCTGCAACATTCTCCTTACAAACTGCACAAACAATTGCATCATTCTTCTCCCGAACTTCGTCTACTGTCAACTCGATTGAAGGCAAATTCTCCACCACGGATTTTGATGCAGGATGACCGAACTTTACGGCATTCTCATTCTCCACCAATTGTTCCGTAGTCATAATATAATCATCTGAAAGATCAGAACGAGCAACTTCACTCCCATTGTTATGTTCTTCCAAATTATTCACTGTCATGAGCACTTCCCACTGTACGTAGTTCTCTCCTTCTTCATCATCTTCTGCTTCGTCTGAAAATGAATTCTCGCCTTCTGGGGATGGAACATTTGAGGAAACCAAGATTTCCCCAATTCGATCGATAACGGAATCAAAATTCTCTCTCTCGTGAATTTGGATTCTCTCATCCACCTCCTGCCACTCAAGCTCTTCTCTTTCGTTTTCAGTAATACGAAAATCATTGACCCCTTCATCATCAACAATAAACCAAGAATTTAACTCCGTTTCACCGGAATTTGACTCCAAATTCGCGCCCACAACACCAACCGCCATTGCAGACCGGTCTGTATCGGAACCAAGCCCCGGACCGAACCCAAATTCCATCCCCAGATCCACCGCCGGACCTGAATCGAACTCCCAGATTGGGTCATTCAGAACATGGGATTCGCGAGACTCGAACAATTCGGCGACGAAATTCATTGGCTCATCGTATTCTACTTCACCGCTGACACAGCGATTTCGGCAAGGTAAGGAATCCGCAGATCCGCGGCCCCAGCTTTCAGGTTCTGCATTAAAATCAAACCTGAAATCGGTAGTGGTGTTGTACTCATCGGGTATAAAGAAAGAGAAATTGGAATTACTTGGTAGCTCCAGTGAATCAAAATCGAACAAAATTGAGCCTTGCCGATAGAATTCATCATATTGGTTTTCTTGTTCTTGATGGACCCTCGTAGTGTTTCTGGGAACGGGCCTTAGTGGTGGTGGTTGTTGTTGAGACTGAGTCGGCGGTTCGCAGTGGTGGAAGCGGTGAAGATCGGCGTCCTCTGCCATTGCAGAAGCCAGAAGCTGATACCATTGTCTATGTTATCTGACGTGAAATTTATCTGTTCACCAAGTGGATCTTTTACTTTATTATTATTTTTTGTTTCTTTTACGTGTTCAAAATTTCAATACAGCCGGCGGAATAAATTATTTTGTTTTATTTTATTTTACTTTTACTCTTTTCTTTTAACTCATCAGAAAAATAGTTTCTTTTTTCCTCTCTATAATTAACTATTATTCCCAATTTTTTCCATGAAAAATGAAAAACAAATTTCAACTTTCGTTTTTGACCTATTTGATTGACAAAATTTTATAGGGAATTGATTTTCCCACTTTGACCGTCACGTTAACACTTCTTGGTTTTCATGGCTTTTCAATTCCCACCAAAATGGTGGAAATTGGTTTTTCTTTTTTCTTTTTTTCAATTGAAACAAATTTTAGGAATAATTGTAAAAGAAGATATCCCTTAAATTAACAATTTTCATGTAAAATAAAGTCAAAATAAATGATTTTTGAATATTTTTGGTTGTCTTTGACTTTTTTTTTTTTTTTTTTTGATAATGGAAACAAATTTTATGAACAATTGTAAAAAGATGATATCCCTTAAATTAATAATTTTCATAAAAAAAAAAAGTCAAACGAACACAAAAAGACACTTATATTTCAAGATTTTTCAGGTGAACAATTATATCAATCAAATACAATAATTGACAATTCCCAATAAAATAATTTCTAGGCAATTCATTTTCTTGAAATTCATTTTCTTTCCACCCAAATTTTATCTTTGCAATCAAACTGACCCTAAATTTAATCAAGAAAATTCATATATTTCATATTTAAGCTGTACAGTTCAACTTCAACATATGAAATTTAATAATATACCCCATTTTTTATAAATAACTCGATCGTTCGATTGGATAGTTATCAGATAAATATCACTTCATCATTTATTTTAATGAATTTTTAAAAAGGTACGGATATGAATAAAATGAATTAATATCTTGATTAAAATCATTTAGGAATCCAAATCAAATCAAATCACAAAGTGTTCGTCAATTCCACTAGAAGAAAAGGTCAATTGATTTCATTTTAATAGGAGTAATTGGCACAAAACGTCCTCATCATTTCACTCATTGTGCAAATCGTCTTTATCGCTTCAAATTGCAAAATTGCACCCGCGTCTTAATATTTTCTTGTTGATTTAGTCCTTTTCATCTCTTTCGTCAATTCCTTCCATCAAATATAGGCAATTGGTGCAAAACCTTTCTATCATTTACCTTCATTGCTCAAAAGGTTCTTATCATATATTTTATTCATTAAACCATTGTAAAATCACTAATTCATCCTCCTATTTAAATAAAAAAGAAAGAAAGAATATAAATAAATAAATAAATAATGGTGGTCAGGATTCTAAATTTTTTAAAACATACAAACGGTCTCACGTAAAACAATTTAAACACATACTAACAAATGAAAAATATTTCACCTTTCCATTTAATCCCACCTACCCTTACTCCCGTCATCTACCCTTCGTTACCACCAAAATAATTAAAAAGAGAATTAAAAATATAAAATATTAAGATAAATTAAAAATGGAAAAACAAAAAAATAAAAATAAAAAAGCTCTATTTTCTATCGAACACCGCACCCTCTCACTGACCACCACCACCACCACCATTTATTCTTCTCATCCCATTAGTGCACCATCCAGGGTTCTAGCTATTTTCTTGTAATCAATTTTCATATTCCAATATCTTTTTTGTTTTCAGCCAAGTTACAAGAGCTTTTTAGAAATTTAACTATATTAAGAGCCTGTTTGGGAGTGATTTGGAGAATTGATTTTTTTACCGTTAGTAGAAAAGTGGGATCCACTTGTGAGAGAAGAAGTCAAATATGACGACTAGAATAATGAAATAACGGCCAAAAAATCACTCCCAAACAAGCTATAAGCAAATTCTTGTTTCTATCTTCTTCTTGCTGATTACATACATATATACACAATGAATTAACTATTAAATTTTGCTCTGATTTTGTTCATGTTTCTTTTTCCATTAGAGGGCTCATTGAAGATCTTAATCAAAATCACAATCCTAATTGTTCTAATTCAAATCTAACTACAAAAAAAAGTAATGTTTGGGGGGAGGGGATTTTTTTTTTTATAAATATTTTTCAAATTGGCAAACGATAGAGATGTTTTATGGAAAAACGATAGAAACGTTTGCCTCAATTACCCATATTTGACAAAATAAATTGATAGAATGAAACGAAAAGGACCAACTCCGCAAAAAAAGTTGAAATAAGTATGTAAATATCAAATTTAAAACTATAAACGATTTGCACAATAGATACAAATAATGAAGACGTTTTGTGCTAATTACTATTTTAACACATATGGTCCGTTGCAATGGTTAGGTTAAAAGCAAAATCATGAATAAGTCGTTACACTCCCAATGTTTTTAAATTGCAAATTGCTAGTTGTTATATATTTGTTAAAATGTTATTTAAATAGGAAAATACTCTTTGTACAATATGGGTTTACAACATTGGGTTACAATATTAGGTGTAGGGCTGTAGTTAAATGTGGTTGGACGGCTGAGATGAAAAGAAAAAGAAAACATTACATTTCTACAAGCCCCACTTCAATTCAAGCGAGAATTGGAAGAAAAAGGAAACCTGCTGTTTTCAGCCCCGCTTCGACTTATCAGCGACAAGAAAAAGGGAAAGAAGCTTCGTCAGCCCAGCCCCGCCTGCTTCGTCTGTTTATGTAATTTTCCGTGAACTCCAAAGCCGTTGGAAGAAAAAGGGCCCTGCTGTGAACTCTACCAGATGGTGTGAGGCAACCCATTGATTGGTGTGTGAAGTTTTGAGTAAGTTATGGATGTTTACTTTGTTAATAACTTGTGTTGTGGCCAACTGTAAATAAGTCAGTGTTATCTTCCTCTCTTTCCCCTTCGTACCTACTGTATAATGGAGATGAACACTGCGTAAATATGTAAAATGATATAACAAATCTACATCAATATATGTAACTAATGTGTCTGCAAATGTGATTTTTCAAGTACCCCGACTACTTCTTTCAGTGTACATGAATTTACTTGTTACTGAAATTGGTTTCCAGCTTTGCATATTGTTGAAATACAGTAACTTGTAATGGCATGGTAATGTCAATTAATCCAGCTGGGGAGAAACTATGCAGTCCATTTCCATGCCTAATATATGGTAATGTCCATGAATTCGAAAATCTAATAGTTTTCCTCTTTTACTTGCAGTTCAGTGTTGGTGGAAATTGGAAGTCGGGATTGTATAATATATTTTTTGGTGGAAACTAGAAGTCTGTAAGTATAATAGATGATGGAGGAAGTGGAAAAGGATTCTTGGGTGGACTCCGAAAATGTCAATGTGGAATCCAATGTGAATGTAGTTGAAGATCAAATGGTGGGAGGAGAAGGAATGATTGCGCCGGAGGTTGGTATGAAATTCAGGACGAAAATGAAGTCTATAATTTTTACAAATTATATGCTTGCAACGTATATTTTCCTATGAGAAAAAGGAATTCGAGAAAGGACGATGATAAAGTTTTGCGATACGTGACTTTCACATGTAGCCGTGAAGGTCGAATGAGTAGTAGCACTAGTTGTTCTTTGAAGCCATAGCCTATTCAGATGGGTTGTAAAGCTAGAATCTCTGCTTTTGCGGATAATCAAGGCTACTGGAAAATTAACACGGTACCCCTCATCCACAATCATAAAACAAGTCCAACAAAGTCGAGATTGTATAGATGCAATTGAGAAGTAAGCGCGGCTGTGAAATGGAGGCTTGAAGTGAATGACATGGCTGGAATTCCATTACATAAAAGTTTCAATTCTGCAGTTGTCGAAGCTGGTAGATATGAAAATATGACATGCATTGAAAAGGATTGCTGAAACTATATTGAACAACTTAGGCGATTAAGCCTTGGTGAGGGAGATGTGTCCGCAATACAGTCCTATTTCTTAGAAATGCAGGCACATTCAGCAGGATTTTACTTCTGCATGGATTTGGATGACGATTCGATTTTGGGCAGATAATCGGTGTAGGGAAGCATATAAGGAGTTTGGGAACGTCGTGACGTTTGATATCACTTATCTAACTAACATATATGATATACCATTCGCGCCTTTTGTTGGCGTCAATCACCATGGACAATCGACATTGTTGGGTTGTGGGTTGGTCTGTAACGAGAACACAGATACATTTGTGTGGCTTTTCAGGACATGGCTTAAGTGTATAAGGGGTCAAACTCTGCATGGAATAATTACAGATCAAGACAGGGCTATGCAAAATACCATCCAAATAGTTTTTCCAAATTCACAGCATAGATAGTGCTTATGACACATTCTTAAGAAGGTGCCCGAGAAATTTGGGTACCATATAAACAAGGGTTCAATATTCTCAGCAATACATGGGTTAGTGTATGATTCTCACACAGTTGAAGAATTTGAACAGGGTTGGGGATCGATGATTGAAATATTTGAGTTGCATGACAACGAATGGTTGTCGGGATTGTATGAGAACAGAGATTGTTGGGTCCCCTGCTTCTTGAAAACAAGTTTTTGGGCTAGGATGTCAATAACACAGTGGAGTGAGAGCATGAGCGCATTTTTCGATGGGTATGTACACGCGAAGACTTCGTTGAAATAGTTCATTGAACAGTATGAGCGAGCGTTGAGGTGCAAGGTGGAAAAGGAGTTCCAGGCTAACTTCAAGTCCTTCTCACAAATGATTCCGTGTAAGGTTTATTGCGACCTTCTCACAAAGACAGTATGAGCGGGTAAGGTTTATTGCGACCTTATATCTGCCTCGGAGGAATGTTTTGGGACGACTTATGAGATACGAGAGGATGTCATTTGTAATGGTCGACGTGAAAAGAAAACATTTATTGTCTCATTCCAGAGTGAGAAATGTGAGGTCGTTTGCAGTTGCCATTTGTTCGAGTTTCGGGGAATCATTTGCAGGCATGCAATTGCAGTACTAATCTGTAACAATGTCACCGTACTACTAGATAGGTATATACTGCGTAGGTGGATGAGGGATGTCAATCGACCATACACGAGGATCGCAATAAAATATGCCGGTCTCGTCAGCACTCCAGGACAAATAAGGTATGACAATATGTGTCAAGCGTTCTTGGAGATAGCAAACCTCGCAGTTGATGACGAAGCACGGACCCGGGCAATAATGGAATGGATACAAGATCAGTCCAAAGAACTTTCGATGTCGAAATGGAGTAACGAAAACAATATCTGTAGTCAGCGAACAATTCATTAAGGATCGTCAAATATTGGTTCACAAAATGCATCTAACATAAGCATACTGGATCCTAAGGTGGCAAAGAGAAAGGGAGAACCTAGAAAACTTCGGAGGAAGAGCCCGTTGGATTCGACTTCAAAGAAGTCGAAGGTATTTTGATTTTTTTACATGTGAACTTCAAGTGAATATTAAAAATAATGATCGTTTCGTTCCGATGGACATGCAGCACCTTCAACATGCAACGAGAACCGACCAACAGCACGGCATACGAATATACTGGTGGATGTACCCAATGTTGATGCAGCTCAAGGAGAACAGTCTTCTACACTACATATTCACCGTTCGCATTTTCACAACTCTTGGTGGTTAGTATATTTATAATAGCATTTTCACTTGTTATGGCTGGAATTCCAGGTCCATTTTAGCATTCTTATTAAGTCATTTTCGTCCTTATTGTAGGGCCATGAGGGAAGTCATTTGTTCACACAACCGTTGGCAACGCATTTTTTATTGAATTTCGAAGGTAACATCATTGATAGAAACTTAAATGCAATCTAAGTTACAATTAAATTATGGACTTATTAATTTTCATGTTGTATGTAAGGTGATGTCATTCCATACTCCTCTCAACATTTACCGCATCAAAGAGGCACGTGATTGTGGCGGGACCAAGTCAATGGAAGGACGTAGTAGATAATGGCATCGACTTCCTATTTTCTCCAACCCTTGCTTCTTGAATTTTTTTTTTGCTTGTCGTCTGAGTGATATAAATCACTTGTATTAAACTAAAATTAGGCGGTTGCGGGTACCTAGTGTTTTTTGTCATTTACTTGTCTTCGGCCTATAAAGTCTTGAACATTGCGGTTGAATTTCTAGGATTGCATTACTTGTCTTTGGCTTATGAAGTCTTGAACATTTGCAGGTACTTAGCGTTTTTGTCATTTACTGAGTTTGGCTTTCAATTTCTGGGATTGCAACACTATATTTCTAGGCAAGAATAAGTTCAGTACACGTGAACAAACTTGCTGGGTTGAATTTTTGGCTGTCAAAATAGGACTATATTTCAAGAAAATGAGACCACTGTGAATTTGGCTTTCAATTTCTGGGATTGCAGCACTTGATTTCATAGGGTGACTTCCTTTTTGGCACAGAAAGGGGCACCGTGCGACAGTCGTCTGCTCCGCTAGACTACCTTCGACCTTTTCTTGATCGTGTCAGGACGAAAGAAAATTTGATTACAGTTTTGTAGAAAGTTTACAACAGAGAATTTGAATACATTGAAAGTAAATTGAACATTGATGGATGAAAACTGAACATTACAATTGACGAAAGTAGAAAATTACAATTGCTGGTCTAGGGGGCGGACACCAGGAAATTTGAAAATTTTTTGAATGACTAATACCCCCTATAATAGCATTCGAAACAAAAACCTAAATAAAAGGAGTAAATGTTTAAAAGACAAAGAATCATACTAAACGTTTACTAATATCAGAACTATTTTACAACTGAAATAACTATTACAATCAGACCCGGTCCTGGGCCGAGGCCAATGAGGCCTGAGGCAAGACCATAAGGGGCCTAATTTTAGCCCTATAATTTTTTTTTTAACTTTTTTTTTCACATGGCTAGGCGCCCCAAAACCATTATCCAACAAGCCCAATCCATTTACTCTTAAATCCAATTACCCAACCCAACTTACATATCCAATATCCACAATCCAATCCAATTAACCAAAAATCCCCAAAATCTGAAATACAATCAAGGGCTTGCTTAGTTGCTCGAAGTGCTTATCGCCTAAGTGTTTGTGTCGTCTCCGTCAGTTTAGTGGTCACTCCACCAGTCCCGCAGTCCGCCTCCGTCCTTCTGCCGCTAGTTCCCAAAATCTTTGCGAAGTCGGTCGAAGTTTGCAGCGCCTGCTCTTGCTCGTCACCGTCGATCGAACTCGAAGACTCGAAGTTTGTGTGATTCTGACTCATCTCCACAACTGCAAGGCGCGAGTCTGGTCTCCGCCAGTCTGCTCTAGCTGTGCATTCATTGGAGGAGGTGGAGCTGCAGCTGCTAGTGGTGGAGCAGCTGAGGAGAAGAAGGAAGAGAAAGAGGAAAGTGACGAGGACATGGGATTCCCTCTCTTTGATTAGTTTATTAGTTTCGTCTACTTATTGTTGCCTACTTCTAAATGTTACTAATTGGTTAAGCTCAAATTTTGATGACATGAGTTATGGGTTCACAGACATTGCTTGCTTTTATTTGGTATTGAATATATATGGTGAATGATTTTTTATTTTTATTTTTTTGTTTTGCATAAATGCATTTTTCAATAGCATTTACAGTTTACCTCTGCTACAAATTTTAGATGGCCATGGACATGCATTTTCTGGTTTTCATTATGTCGGCCCCTCATCTTCAACATTCGTGTTTGTTTTGGTTTGGAAGAGGGCATTGAGGCAGCATTAATGGTGAAGAAATATTTTCAAATCTTTATTACCAAGTGACGGGTGCTTTCATGTTTGATTATTCATCTAAGAAACTACGTTTTTCAAATTTTGATTTACGGTGATTTCATCGGGGGGCCTAGTTTACGGACTTCGTCTCAGGGCCCGACAATCATAGAACCGGCTCTGATTACAATGAAAAGAAAATTACAACTCAAACTTGAACTAATATTTACAATATGTGGTTATTGTTGAGCAAACTGCGGCTGTGATAGAATCAAGAGGCTAAGTAAAGTTGTGGTCCTTGACACTTGGGACTGGGTAATAATTTCAGTACATGTGAAAAAATCTTCTGGGACTAAAGCACGTTTCTGGGACTGCAATGGAAGACTTGTATTAAACTAAAATTTGGCAACAACTATAAATTAACAACAGCTTTGAAATTAACATCACAACCATACGAACACGCTGCCGTTACGAAAACTGTGATTATAAATTAAGCAACACATTGAAAATAGCTACAAATATTCATTACACATTGAAATAGCTACAAATTAACCATACCAACCACTAGTTTACACTTTCGCTTCAATATCCATTACACATTTAAATAGCTACAAATTAACATACCGAAACTACTAACCAATACACAGAAATAGATAAGAACCCAACTCGTACTAATAACCACAACTCCTTCCGTTACTAATTACTAATCAACATTTCACTTATTGCGGATTGTCACGTTCAGGGATATGTGGGTTTCTTATTCGTCTTTCAGCCGAACTTGGGATTGGAACATGCATGACATATCGTCGATTTCTGGGAGGCTAACGTCACTCTAATCACCGCTTGATTCCCCAATGTTGCACCACTCCCAAAATCCGCATTTGTGATTGCAACAATTGAAGAATTTTCCTTTGTTTGGAGTATTCCGTTCAACCTTAAAACACTTTTGAAAACCGTTGTTACACCTTGGGCATCTGCGCTTTGTCGGGCAATCGTCAAAAAAATGGCCCTTAAGCCTGCAGCTGTGACAAACTTCCGAATTCTTTCCAACTATTCTAATAACAGAATAAGGGAAAAAAAAAAAAAAAAAAAAAAAGAATTGCTTATTTAAAAGTAACCCTTACCTTTCTGTTAAAATAAAAAGTAACTTGTTTTCAAATAAATTTACTAATTTAGTTATAAACAAACTCTTTAAGCTTTAACCAAACATGCTGTTAATACCCTCTGCTAATCTGAGAACGTTCAGTCTTCCACCTTTCCCATTTCAAGCTTTGACCAATTGTTGTCCGTGGATGCAGGAGGAAATTGTTGATGAGACAGATGTATATGTCGATGTGCATAAAAGGTGTTAAGAGCGAGCACTTTCCTAAATATATTGTTGCGTATTGAAATTAAATCAATTGAAACAACCGAGCATGTTCATCGAAGGCAAATGAGGATAGGTGAGACCGGAAGAAATAGGTACCTTAAACACGACGACGACGACTACCAGTGGGAGACGATCGGAAGAAATTGGTTCCTTACTCAGACGGCACTGATTAATCGGAAGAAATTGGTACACGCGACAACGAGGACTTTAACTGCTTGACTGTATCTAACGCTAACCACCCCACCAATGTTAAGACGGGCTCGATCGGTTATCAGCGACGGCAGAGATGAGGGAAAGAAGGAAGGGTTTTCATTTGGGATAAAGGAAGGGAGACGTGCGCGAGAGAGAGAGATTCTGTGGGTTTCTTCAAGCATTATTCAAATTCATTAGGAGTCTACTTAATTTTGAGAATTAATTTTTTGATCAAAAGTGAGGTTAGAAAAGAAGTCAAATATGACAACTGAAATAGTGAAATAACGGTCAAAAAATCAATTTTTTGAGAAAAAATCGAGCCCAAACAAGTCCTAAATTTCTTGGTACATGTAGCAGCTTTGATTTAAATAACACTTGCCTTATACTCCCAATGTTTTTAAATTGGGAATTATTGAAGGAAAAAGTCAAAAAAGTATAATTAATTAAATATAACTTTTTCAGTTTTTACCAACACAAAGAAATACCCATATGGCATAATACATGACAAAGTTGAATCGGCTTTTTTTTCTTTTTTCTTTTTTTTTTTTATTTTCTCTGTAATTTTTTAAATCCACTGACTGACTGATTGACAAACAAACAAAAATGTTCTTGATTAATCATGAACTTTCCAAAATAGTCAGTCCGCATAATAATTAATAAAATAATAAAACAAAAATAAATTTCCAGAAATCATGCATTGATTTTAGCTAATCAAACATGGACCTTTTATTTTAAGCCCTTGTTTGAACCACATCATTTCAACGAGAATGCATTTTTGAATAGTGTATTGATGAAAAATGTGTAGTTAAAAAAAAAGAAAAATTGAATTTGTGTGTAATATTATTTTATTGAAGAATATGTGCTTGGAATAATGTCAAATCACTATTTGAGAATATATTTTTTTTAAAAGAATGTTTCCAAAGAAGAACCAACAATGAAAACTGCAATACTGGTAAAATCACATCTACACCGAAGAGAAAAGAACAAGAAAACAATTCTTCATCATCATTATATAGAGAAAATACAGACAATAAAAAGTTATGAGCTTCACAAATTTCATGTATGTTACATAACCTACCTTATTTTACCTTCATGTGAGGATCCATCTAATTTTTACTTGTATAAAACAAAAAATGGTCATCAACAAACTCCATTTACCGCGCTTTCACAACTTTACATGATCATTTAGAAAGAACACCTAAAATCCATGTAGGCATTTGGAACACATGACCAAGCTGAAGCAGCTAAAAACTATCAAGATTGCTATGTCTAGTGTTGAAACAAGTAAGGTCCAGCAAAAGATGAAATCAGCGCTACAAGAAGTGCGATGAGGACGTACTTGAAGTTGAGCATGTTTGCGTCTATGTTCCTTACTGTCACGAGCTTGGATGTGGAATCATTACGCTCCATCTTTGCCTCACTTGTAGGCGTGTCTGCAAGCTTATTGCTCATCTAAAAGAGATAATAGATTAATGTCAGTACGACGGACGCCTGCCATCAGAACATTTTATATCGAACTTTGCTACTTGTACAACCCAATTGACAGATGAAATTTATCATGATCATGTGGATTTTGTGGGAATTAAATATAAATAAAGCTGAAATGTTCATGAAAATTTCACATGTCAGCCAGGATGTACAAGTAGCAAGGTCTTTTTATATTTTACAATTTCCACCAAAAGATAGTAAAAGATTTGCTGGATGCCTAGAACAAATCCACCACCGTATCTAAAAAGATGGAAATGGAAAAGTTTAGATGCAGATTTCAAGTTACATTTTTTTTCCCAATGACGTATCAAATTTACTTTCTTTTTATCACAAAACCTAATACTTTCCTAGGAAGTACTTCGACTTATTTTTTATGATTACCAAACATTGTCTAAATATATGAAAAAGAAGCCTCCAGGATTGAAATAAGATAAAACTCTCATTGGATGAATCAAAGGATATTAATTAGAAATACTTGCACTTGACATCAGCATAAGTCTCCTCAATAATGTTTAGAGAAAAGCTTCATGTAGAAACAAGAAAAGGAACTTTATAGTTACGAGGATGATAGACCAACGGAATTAAAATATATCATTATCCCATCGAAATACTCTTAAAAACTCATCCATTTGCTTAGGGCAATTAAGGTCCGGAACCAAATCATGTTTGGCTAAGCTTAAAAAAAGAAAATAACATCTTTATATTGTTAAAATTGAAACAAATTATTTTGACATTAAGGTAAGAGTAACTTTATTCATTAAAAGAAGAATAGAGTAACGAAACATGTTTGGAAACAAAAAGCTAAAAAGTGACTTTCTTTTGTTAAGCTTAGCCAAACATATCTTAATACAGTTGCTAAAATTTAACCTATTAGTCTATCAAATGGTCACAATGCAGGTTTCTACATTCAAAATCATTCGAAGGTAATTTCCTACTGGTTCCATCTCTTAATTCCTCTGATGCTCGGACTCTTTAAAATAGTTGGAGTACCCGTGGACACGACACGACATATGGGTATGGATATGAGATATGTGTCGGATCCTCCAAATTTCAATTGAACACTTCGTTGCTTTTGCTTCTTCTTCTTTCTTTCTTTCTTTTTTTCTTTCCTTTTCTTTTTTTCCGTTTCTACTTAGTTCTCCACTAAGTACAAATTGCAATCAAGTCCATTATTTGCTATTTATATAAAATTTAAGAATGTCCATAATTCAAAACTAAACCTCAAAATTCTATTTTATTCATCTCAACTCCTTATTCAATACCCATTTCCTTTTTTGTGAATAATTGATTTTGGTTTATTCAAAATAACATCTTGAATTAGTAAAAAAATTGAAATTTGAAAGACGTATCCATGTATCCGTGTATGAAAATTGGACATTTTTTAATCATGTCCCCATATCCTACATTTTAGAAAATAAAATATCCGACACCTAGATATGCACCCATACCCAATACCCGTACCCGAGTCCGAGCATCATAGCTTAATTCATTTAATTACACAGCTGTTTCTTGGCATCCATATACCAATGGTTCAGCAGTGAATGAATATAATATATCTTTGACAAGGGAGACGAGTTTGGGGAGAGAACACAAATTGGACAGTGAAATTAATATACTAGGAAAGGAAAAGAAAATTAAAATAATGGAATTTCTTGTCCCTGAATTCGTAAATCTTGAAGTGGAGACATGGACATGTAAACCAATTAAAATACTAGAATGTAGTGTCAACAGTTGCACGAAGTAAAGCAAAACAAATGAGAAACCTAACTTGAGCTAACTTCTACTTCAAATTTTGAATCCCATTAACTTAGTACTTTGAACTGGTCATTCCGAAAACAGATTCATAAGTAAATGTTGGGACTTTAGGATCAAAACGTTTCTACAACTTTCACACACACACACCAAAAAAGAAAAATAAATAAAAAAATTCTCGTTTATCTATACCAGATTATTCCACTAAGAATTGACGAGAACAAACACTAACTGTATCACATACCTCATGACTGGTAGCTAAAGACTCGGTTATTTGCTCTTCACTTTCTTCAGCAGGAGTTGCATTTCTAGAGTCATTCTTGGAAAGTAAAGATTCATTGGTATTTCCTTGGGAATTCACAGTTGTTGTAACTGTGGGATTCTCACACATTTCTCGCGAATGCTTTACTGCAATTTTTTTATCCTCCACTATTGATAAAATCTGCATCAATAATACAGTTAGAATCTAAAGAGACCTTTATTGTCAAACAATCAGGGGAAAGTATTATATATTCCGGAGTAATGTCCTACAATTTCGAACTTTGGATTACAACATCAATAGTAAAGGATATTTCCTCCTACCCAATAAAACTGGTGGGGGGGGGGGGGGGGGGTTT